TTCTCCCTGTTCCTCTCCCCTGGCAGCCCGTCCCCCTCCTTGTCTCTCCTACTCCTGCTCCTTGGTGAGACCGCGGGGGCATGTCTGACTGCTCTGCGTGCCTTTCGCTGGTGACCTTGGTTACATTTCTGAGCTTTCCTATCCCACCTTCCCCGCCCACCGTGGACAGATACTAAGGCATTTGGTTCCGATTTTGTTCTAAGAGTTAAATAAAATAACGTAGGGCACTCAGCGGAGGCTTGGCAATCAGTGAGCGTAAACGTCAGATGCCGCCATTAAGTTCTGGTTTCCTTGGAAACCCAGTTCCCTCTTCAAGCTTTTCACCTCCATGGACAAGCCTGGGATGCAGCGGTCACCACCCAGCTCCTGCGTTGCCCCTTTGCATGACACGTCCAAAGAGTTAGCCTCTGTGCCCAGTGAGCCCCTCCCAAGCCCCTCACTCAGCGTCGCCCCATGAAGGAGCAACGGCCCCTCCTTTCCCACCACACTGTTGAGTGACGTCCAGATGTTGAGTGACGTCCAGATGTTGAGTGACGTCCAGATGCAGGAGAAACAGAGCGATGGGCATTGAAACAGCGGGCGAGAATGATAAGCAGCGATTTTGTTGGTCGTCATGTAGGTTAATGGCCTCAGCAAACACCTGCTTGGAATCATCTCCGAATCAAGTAAGTGGAGTCGTGTCGTTTCAGACTGGGTTCAGCTGGTCATGCGAGTGTGTATCTGCCGGTGTTGCTCTGATGATATTCTGCCCCTCAGTCTGACTGATGCGGGGCTTTCCCGTGGAGGTGGTTCTTTTTTTTCAAGTACAGTTCCCGTCACTAACACTTTGTATTAGTTTCAGGTGCACAGCCCTGTAGTTAGACAATCATGTCCCTTACCGAGTGGTCCCCCTGGGATATTTCCAGCGCCCACCTGGCACCATCCCTACTTATTACGATATTGACTCTGTTCCCTGCTCTGGACTTGACATCTTCATAACTATTTTGTAGGAGGTCCTTTTTTTCTTTCTTTTTTTTTCCTCTTTTCTCCTCTATCATCTCATTTCCAACTTTAAAAACCAAAGCTCTGTTAACCTGCAGTGGCCAGAACAGCCCGGGGTGCTGTGGGGAGGGGTGTTCCCCGAAGTCCAGTTTTTGTTTGCAAACTGCTGTTACCGCCATGAGTCTTGAGTCCACGCTCTCTCATCGGCCCCCTCCAGGCGGCAGAGCCCGGCGCGGGGAGTGCATGGCGAGTGCAGGTCTCAGAGTGCGTGCGGCCCTGAGGCCGACAAGCAGCCCCACAAACACGGACCAGACACCTGCCTTTGCTCGCCATCCTTCATCCCTCGTTCACTTGGTTCTCCAGAGGGTCCAGAGGTTCTTTGTGGCTGCACAGCCTGGACCGGGGTCTCCACAGCTGCCCCAAAAGGAGAAGGGCGAGCTGGCCAAGGCATTGGGCTCCACCCTGACCACATGGGTCTGCAGAGGCCTGCCCTTGTCCACCCGCCTGTGGGTTTAGGTGAGCGCACTGTCTTTGTTCAGATCCCAACTCGGCAACTGTGACCAGGCCCTCCCTCCTCCGTGCCTCAGCTTCCTCCTGTACACGTAGGAGAGGCTTTGCAGAAGCATTACCCGCGATCGGCTTCTGCAGCTTAGGGCTGGTGTGGGAATTAAATGTGTTACTGATGACACTTATAACAATGAAAGGTGTTACTTATGCCTGGACACCATCTGCACATAGCGGGCAGCATTGTTTTTCTAGACGAGTGGATGAAAGGCTGTGGTACATCTACACCGGGGAATATTATGCGGCTGTTAAAAAGAAGGGTCTCTTACCCTTTGAGACAGCATGGAGGGACCTGGAAAGTATTGTGCTAAGTGGAATAAGCCAGTCAGAGAAGGACAAGTATCACATGATCTCCCCCATATGTGGAATGTAATGAACAAAATAAACTGATGGACAAAGTAGATCCAGAGACATAGAAGCATCGAACAGACTGTCGAATCTCAGAGGGAAGGGCGTTTTTTTTCAATAGCGGGGTGGAGGCCGGGGGTGGGCTGGAGGGGTCACTGGGAGGAAAGGGGGTGTCTGCAATACTTTCAACAATAAAGTGTTTAAATGTGCCCTTGGTCGCCTTCAGGAGGAGCATCAGCACGTATTTGTTACTTATTTTGTGGCCAAACACCAAGAGGAAGGAGGGTGGGCCAGCGGGCGGAGGGTTCTGCGCGGCCTATAAGACCGGAGACGGTGTCTGCCCCAGGCAGCCAGCGAGCCCAGCAGCTGGCGCCCTGTCCTGGGGGAGGGGACCGGCACTCAGCTGTGCTGAGCTGGGACTGTAAACGTTTCCTCTCAACACTAGGAGACTTGGGTTTATTTGTGTCTTTTTCTCTGGAGAAGGTCCAGCGCTTCATCAGATCCGTAAAAGGGTCTGTTACTCTAACCCAGTGGTTCTCAACCTGTGGGTCGCGACCCCTTTGGCGGTCGAACGACCCTTTCACAGGGGTCGCCTAAGACCATCCTGCATATCAGATATTTACATGACGATTCATAACAGTAGCAACATTGCAGTTATGAAGTAGCAACGAAAATAATTTCATGGTTGGGTCACAACATGAGGAACTGTATTTAAAGGGCCAGAAGGTTGAGAACCACTGCTCTAACCGGCTTCAGACCCTGCACACCTGAAGCCTCCCACGTGTGACTCTCATGGTGAGAAGCAAGAATTCAGGAAGCGGGGCTTGTGGCGACAAACGTGGGAGCCGGGACGTGAAGGCAAACATTCCGTGCGTCAGGGATTCGCCCCTGGGGCTCTGCAGCCCTCTGCCTCCTCCCCCGCCTGCTGCCCCCTGCCCTCCCCAGGGCAGGACTAGAGGTGAACTCCGCCCTGCAAACCCGCTGAGCATCGTGGTCTCTGGAGCCACGATGGCCCTGGCTGTGTGGCCGAAGGTAGCAGAGATGGCAGGAACCGAGGAGCACGCACTATTCATGCTCTGCTTCTCCCCCCGCTGCCCACAGAGGGGCGTGCCAGCCTCTCCAGCAACCCCAGCCCTCGGCTCCTCCTGGCCCGCGGTCGCCGATGTGCACACGCAGGTAGCTCGCGCGCAGGGCGTGCCTATCCTTGTTAGTAAGATGCGCATGTTGCCGGCGGCGTGGCTCAGTGTGGACCTAGGAACCAGGAGGTCCCTGGTTCCATTCCTGGTCAGGCCGCATGCCCGGGTTGCCAGCTCAGTCCTCAGTAGAGGACGTGCTGGAGGCAGCCTATTGATCATTCTCTCTCATCATCGATGTTCCCCTTTCTCTCTTCCTTCCTCTCTGAAATCAGTAAAAACATAAAAAACAAAAATAGATGCATGTTTCCTGGGCAGCACCCACCCGGGGCACATGGGCAGGCACAGCGGGGCGCTGGCCCGCAGGGCACAACCAGGTGCTCTACGTGAAATGCTGACGAAATAAAACCACACTCGATTGAAACGTCACCTAGATATTCGCTTCTCACTCCGCGGCCCGCACACCTGCCTGGGAGGCGGCTTCCGCCATTCCAGCACCACCTGACCGCCGGACGGTCTAAGTCACGCGCTTGGGTCCTAGAGAAACCGTGAAGTGTGTGCAACACGGGGACACTGATGGGGGACCTGGGACACGCAAGTGAAACTGCCAGAGACCAGGAGGGTCCGACAGAGACATGCATCTTTAATACAACGGCGTCGCGGGCACCACCATGGCGCTTCACGTTGAGCCCATGGCTTCAGGGCACTCGGTGCTCACGCGTGTGACGGGCAGGAGGGGGCACCTGGGTGCTCACAGGCGTGGCTTCAGGAGGATGAGGACAGGGCTTCCTGGCCACTCATGACCTTCTCGGTGACCCTGCACCTTGGTGGATAACGCGGGACAGTGAAAGCATCGTACAAAATATCATAAATAACAGAAATCTTCAAGTAGTTCCTGCGCCTCGAAGTTGCAGCAGTTCCGACCATGACGACCCTTTTCATCCTGCGCCTCATTCGGTCTCGGCTCCAAGGAACGGCCGCCCCAGCCCCACGCGGTGCAGTGAGCAGGACGCCACTCAAGAGAGACTCCCAGGGCTTTTCGGTTCACAGAAATGAGCTCCCTTTTAAAATGTCGCTTCCCGGGGCTGGTTTAGAGCCGAGGCGCACAGCACCTTGCACTAGTGATGAGCACCCTGGCCCTCTCCGTCCATCCTACAGGAACGTGTGTGTCTGTGCGTGCACACACACGTACACACATGTACACATACGTGAACACACGTGAACACACAATAGATCAAACTCATCTAAACACCTAGCTATGGAGGAAGTCCTGGCTCACAGAATCCCTGGAGCCTGTGAATGTCACATGATGTGGACTCACCCCCCCCCCTCCCCCGGCCACCCTGACGGCTGAGCAGAGGGAGCTGCCACCACCTCTCCACTCGCTCGCAGGGCCTCTAAGAAAATGCGGGAGACGACGGGGAGGAGCGCGAACAGACACTACATCTAGTGAGCGGCACGGGAGGCAGTGTGGGCACCAGGCTGCGGTGCGGACACCTGCTGCCCACAGACCAGC